AAAGATGGAGCAAAGCAACCATGAGTACTCATCCAAAGTACTCGCAAGCAAGGAACTACACTACGTATGTATGCATTGGTATCAAATGGATTAAGGCTATCATATGTGGACTGAACTACAGAATGCCAGAATAAGAGGGGGATAGCTAGTCCTATCGAAGACTACGCTTCTAGCCACCTCGATCTTGCAGCGTGTAGAGGAGAGCAGAAGGTAAGTTCACCAAGTAGCATCGTGTAGCATAATCCTACCCGGCGATCCTCTCATCGTCGCCCTGTTAAAGAGCGACCACCGGGTTGTATCTGGCACTTGGAAGGGTGTGTTTTATTAAGTATCAGGTTCTAGTTGTCATAAGGTCAAGGTACAACTCCAAGTCGTCATGTTACCGAAGATCATGGCTATTCGAATAGATTAACTTCCCTGCAGGGGTGCACCATATTTCCGAACACGCTCGATCCCCTTTGTCCGGACACACTTTTCTGGGTCATGCCCGGCCTCGAAAGATCAACACATCGCAGCCCTACCTAGGCACAACAGAGAGGTCAGCACACCGGTCTAAATCCTATGGCGCAGGGGTCTGGGCCCATTACCCATTGCACACCTGCACGTTGCGTACACGGCCGGTGAGCAGACCTAGCCTCCCTTATACAAGAGCGGGCGTTCCGGTCCAACCCGGCGCGCGCCGCTCAGTCGCTGATGTCACGAAGGTTTTGGCTGATACCACGACATCGAGTGCCCATAACTGTCCCTGCGTAGATGGTTAGTGCGTATAGGCCAGTAGCCAGACTCAGATCAAATACCAAGATCTCGTTAAGCATGTTATTTTGAAATAACCGTGAATGCCGACCAGGCCCAGGCCCACCTCTCTCCTAGGTGGTCTCAACCTGCCCTGTCGCTTCGCCACAAAGATCCACACAGAGGGCCGTCGGGAAAGTATGTCCTTCCAGCCCCCAATTCGTGAATCAACCGCGGGTACTCCTCGAGCCAACCCGACTTTAGTCATCACATATATCATGTATAAAGTACATATTATATACCCGTGATCACCTCCCGAGTGATCACGGCCCGATAGTATAGCATGGCAGACGGACAAGAATGTAGGGCCACTGATGATAAACTAGCATCCTATACTAAGCATTAGGATTGCAGATAAAGGTAACAACAGTAGTAGCAAGGACAGGCTATGCATCAGGATAGGATTAACGGAAAGCAGTAACATGCTACACTACTCTAATGCAAGCAGTATAGAGAAGAGTAGGCGATATCTGGTGGTCAAGGGGGGGCTTGCCTGGTTGCTCTGGCAAGAGAGAGGGGTCGTCGTCGACATAGTCGATCACAGGGGCAGCATCGATCTCGGGGTCTACCGGAGAGAAGAGGGGGAAGAAACGGTAAATATAAAGCAAACATAGCATCACAAAGCATAACGTGGCAATATGATGTGCCGGGTGTGACCTAACGCATGGCTACACGATATAGGTGAAGGGGGAATTCAACCGGGAATGTATTCCCGGTTCCGGACCTGTGTCAGATAGATGACCGGAGGGGGAATGTTCCATGTTCAGATAGTTAGAGGCATCTAATAGGTAAACGGATCGTGTATTCGGATTCGTCTCGTCGTTCTGAGCAACTTTCATGTATAAAACTTTTTCATCCGAGTTACAGATTATTTTATATGAATTTTTGAAGTTTAAGCAATATCCTAGATTTATTATTAAACAAAAATAGGGTTATTGCACTAGCATGATGTCATCATGACGTCATCAGTCAGCTGAGTTGACCATGGTCAACCCTGACGTGTGGGGCCGGTCAGTGCCTAGTCAGCAGTTGACCAGTCAATCTTGACTGGTCAACAAGGTCAGCGGGGCCCGCATGTCATTGGCTCTTACTTTTTAACATGGTTTTGTTTTAATTTAACTTATCCTAATTAGTAGGTGGGGCGCGGCGGGACGCACGCGCGGACGGGTGACGGGGCTAGCAGGGCGCGCCGTGAGCGCGGACGGGCGTGGGGCGGTCCGAGTGGTCCGCAGCGGCGACGGCGGCCGCGGGTACAGGCAGCAGCGGGTCAGCCGCAGCAGGGGAGCGAGGCCGCGCGGGGCCGTGGAGCCGCGGGCGCGGTAGCGGCGCCGTTCAGGAGCGGTGGGAGGGTGCGTGCGCACACTAGGAAGGTAGCAGCGGGGCGCGGGCGAGCAGCAAAGTGGCGATAGCGCGGGTGGCAACGCGAGCAGCAGCCGAACAGCAGAGCTGCAACGGCATCACAGAGCAGGGCGGGCGGACTCGTGCGTGGTCGGACACAGCGGGCGAAGGCTGCTACGGCCAGGGGGAAAAGCAAGGGAGAGAAGGAGGAGGGTCAGGGGCTCACGGCCGTTGCAGAGGAGGCTCGGGGACGTGATGTGATGGTCAGAGTTGGGGAGGATGGAGCAGCGCGGTGCGGCGGCGTCCGACGACGGAGATCGGGGCAGACGACGTCAAGGCGGCTCGCCGTGTGCAACCCAGTGACGCAGGCGACGTAGTCCACGCCGAGGACCTCCCAGGACACGAGCGGATGGATCACAAAGGCCGGTGGCCACGTGCACGGCGAGACAACGACGACGAGCCCGCTCGTGCGAGCGCACCTCGGCGGATCTGAGAAGGGGAGGGGAGAGGGCGAGTGTGTGGGGAGGAGCAAGTGGGAGAGGTGGCAGGGGGAGGCCGAGGCGTCTGCCTTATCCTCTCGCCCACCGTCGGCGAGATGGTCGGGCGGAACCCGCGCCCTGTAGCGGTTAGGGACCGAGGAACATGAAGGAGCGGGTTGGGCATCCGGTGCGGGGGACCTGGGCCGGCCAGGTTGGCTAGGCCCAGGGTTCAGTGGGCCTCTCTCTCTCTTATTTACTTTTTAAGCTTTCTTTCTTTTATTTTTGAAAAGCAAATAGTTTCATAAATAAAAACAGGATCAACACCTAAAGTTGTGTTGTAATTATACCACTGCCACATAAGTTTGGGAAACTAAAAATAAAATATTTTAGTATTTTATTAATTGAAAAAGCATTTAAGTAATTGTTTTTCTTCTGTTTTAATTTATTTTAGGTCATTAAAACACCGTTTTAAAGTGTTGGTTCACCACCAATATTAACAAATGATTATTTGCAACAACTTGAACTTTTTAGTTTTAAAGTCTGAAACCTTTTATACTCTCACTTGATTTTAAAATTTGAATTTGATCGGGGGTTGAATCAATGCGAGTTTATCAACAGTAATCGTGGTGACGTGGCGTCATTAGCATAGGGTTACTGTAGCTTAATTATCCGGGCGTCACACCGTTGCTTCATCCAGACCGGATTTTCACAACTGCGCACCCCCTACCTGGCGCGCCAGAGATGTCGGAGGGAAACGACACCTATGGGGTCACTGAGATCCCTTCTACGGCTGGTGGGCGCAGGGTTGTGCAAAGAGCGGGTCTGGCGGTCAGCACACAAATTGTTTACCCAGATTCGGGCCGCGGAGACGCGTAAAACCCTAGTCCTGCTTTGATGTATATCTAGGCGTTCTTGTGTTCTTGAACTAGCTGCGGTGGCTCTCTAGTCCAAAAGATCCGAATCCCCCTTCATTACGCACCGGGCCTCCTTTTATAGACAAAAAGGAGTCGTCACAGTGGCACACAGGAGGTGGAAAGGTGTACAAGGCTGAGTCTATCCCCTGGCATCGCCGGACAAACGCATTTAATGCGCTGCCGACGTGCCCCTCTTGCTTTATTGGGGACGGCAAAGAACCTCGTCCCAGCTGTCGTCGCCTCATCTGGCTCCGACACGCGTCCAAGTTGATGAGGCGTTGTAGCACCACGTTGGCTGGCTGCTGGGCTGGTGCGGTGGTGGAGCCTTCACAAAAATCTGCATGCCACCACGCAGGTGCTTGCTGAGTTGGTGTAGAGGCCACGCGCTGCCACGGAGATGCCTGTCCAGCTGGTCGAGCTGGCAGCTGTATGGGAGCGGCGGTGGAGTCTTTGGCAGACGCGGGCCTAGCTGCGGCCCCGCAGGCATCCTCGGCAAGGGTCTCGCTGCGGCACGCGGTCATCCCCGGCAAGATAGGCCTGGCTGCGGCCTCGCAGGCATCCTCGGCAAGGGTCTCGCTACGGCACGCGGTCGTCCTCGGCAAGGATCTTGCCGGGGGTCTCGTGGATTTCCTTGGCAAGGATCTCGCCAAGGATCGTCATCTTGTGGTTCTCATCTGATCTTGCGTATCTATGATCTCTACAAAGATCTGCATGCCACCACAGAGGTGCCTCCCGAGCCTTGGTTTTAATATGGTTGATGGTGTTGGAACCCCTTGGGCTCAAGGATGGCGCGCTCTGCTGACGCCAGGCAAGTTATTGCCGAGGCTGCGAAAGCCACCCCAGCAAGGGTCTTGTTAGGGGAGTCCACCTCGCCGCTTTTCTCCTCTGCCCTGCTTAGTGCGGCCGTGGACGCGGCTCTAACTGCCTGTGCACAAGTAAAGAGGTGCAAAAAAAGAGACCCTACTTTTGTACACCGACAGAAGCTAAAGCACGGGAAGGCAACGAGTGAACAAAAGTAGAATAGCACATTAGCATACACCTACGAATATATAGTGACCAGCTCCATGACTCCATCCAAGAATGAGCTCATCATACTCGCAATCGAACACATCCTGAGACATCACATGAGATCACAGAAACTGTATGCGGTAGAGTCCGGCCACCCAGGCACAGCTCTAAGTTTGTACAATTTTGCTGCCTACCTCAAGGGCAAAATATCTAATTTGAACTATATGCATGATGGGCTACATTTAGATCACACCAATTTTTTACATTCTATGGACAAGAGAATACAACAACACATCACCACAACATACACTCTTATATATAACCTTTGTAAACAGAAAACACAGCAGCTTTGCCATCTATGATCTATCAACTCTATTAGGAATACCATTGCCCTTCAAAACTCCATCATCTAATCGCAAACCTGAAAGTCGTTAAATAAACTCTACATACTAGCCAAACAAAATGGAACTTATGATACCGTTCTTCCATAACAAATGGAGGCCAAGTAGAGATTTTTTGCCCATTTCTCCTGCAACAATATGAATCAATAGTTGGTCAAGAACAGCTAAAACACGGATATCAGATAAAAGGGAGGGTATATTAGATCACCTTCACATGCTGGCTGGGGAAAGCAGATGTTCTTAGGGTTTCCTGCGTTTCATCAGCAGGCTTTCTTCTGGGGATGCTCAAGATAAGTGCTGTCTGGTCCCATGTAGCAGCAGTAGCAGTGATGCGATAACCATTATCCCAACGCCGGTGAACTCCCTCACTTGGATACAAGAAGTCAAGCTCCACAACCTACAACAGAAAATAGTTTAAAACACAAAGCACAGGCATTAAACTGTATTCTCATAATTTTTATAGCACATGCCCCATCGAACACTGAGATTCAGCAAAGCACAGACACACCTGATCTACAAAGCCAGCATTCCGGGACACGACCACTGCCCATCGGCTTCCTGCAGTGGCCATAGCTGTGACGTAAAAACCCTCCTTCCACTTCTTGTTTATCCACTTGAAGGGAAACGAGTCACCTACTTTGTAGGATTGCTGTGCATATTGTGTTCCTGGAGGCTCAAAGTCAGTTCCAATCTTTTAAACATATGTATTCACAAGAACACTGATATTCAGGACCTCCAACTTCAAAAGCATTTTGTAAGGAAGATCTGCCAATACTTATCCACACTAATGCTGAACTGACAATCCTACACTATCTGGAAGAAGAGACAAGATTCCAGAGAAACGACAGTACCAGGACACAACATGATCAGAGTCCTGGTACTGCCAGTGCAAGTGTAGTTATTAAAGTCAGACCGGTAATCGAACCGGCAAGGTCCCCCACTTCACCGGCCCATCTGGCAATTCGCTGGTTCGAGCACCAGCCTGCAAATATTAGTTTCCCACGCACTAGTACCACTACCAAGACAACATATAATGCAATTCCAAGATAAACATACACATACACAATCCCACTAGAGCATGAAACTCAACGACCACAATCCCCACATACGCAGCATGAGATCCATTGACTGAGTTATCCCTGGCAAGTATCTACTCGCTGTCACCTGGGATGCCATGTTCAATCAAGCTGCTACCCCTGCTACTTGCCCAGCTTGCTAGCTAACACTGCCCTAACAGAGGCTGGATGACAACCATGGCGCTTTTATCAAATCGAAAGTAGATGATTTCACATGAGATTGAGGCTCTGTATGGCCGAACTGAGGGAGAAGACAGAAATTAGACTAGAAAAGAAAAACATAGTGAGAATGAGGCAGAGGGACGAGAAAAACCCTAGAGTATCTTGTGAAGATACACAGCAGAACAGGCCAATTAAACCAGGAAGGCCCAAGACAATGTCTTCATTGCTATCCGATTCATTAATTTTCACCAAATACAAAAAGAAAAAAACAGTTTTCACAAAAAGATGCCTGGTTTGTCTTGGTTTTTCCGTTTATTGCATGGTTAGTTTTTTAAGGAAACCAGACAGCTAACGTCTCTGTTCCGATTGACCGCCGTTCCAGTCGAGTGCAAGTAACGTTCTTCAGCAGACATCATTGCAATTACCTCTAGACATGACCACCAGAGAACTACCATTGTTTGCACCTGCTAACGCAGTGATATAGAAGTTCTTCTCCCACTGCTCCATTATCCATTCCTAAGAGCAAGAAAAGCAAATATATTGAAATAAATTGCTCCATTGATACGCTGTAGAAACGAAAGAGAAAGAAAGATGTGCAATGCAAAAGAAGTCAGCATGACTAACCTTGTGAAGAAAATATGGAGAAAGTTCATAGACTTGAGAAGTAAAGCCAGTGCCAGCATCCATTATTAGAGCCCACAAATTTGAGCAAGAGGCAACTGAGCTTATAAACAAGCCATCTTCATTTCCTTTTGAAATATGTTGTGCTAACCTACCATCTGCAACATTATAGTGGTACCTGCAAAAGAAGTGTGGTTGGAATGGAAATGTTTACTTTCCATCTAAAGCTAGCTTTCCTCTATGGGATTCATACCTCTGCTTCATAGGCCGCCTCGCATTGTAAACACTAACCCATTGTGTTGCAGGCATCCCCATCCTGATCTTCTTCTTGGGTTGGTCATCGTCATCCTCCTCCATCATGAAGCGACCTCTCTTCTGGCCAACCTGGTATATAAGCTGGTACAAATTCAACAAATTATTAGTATGCTAACTCACATTGCACAGCTGAAATGATATGAAGTCAAATTCCACGGTAAGCATTAAACCATGACGCCCAAGAACTTCCCGTGGAAGGTTAGCTAGGAACAATCTAATGCTACACAGTTACATAGTTTTAGCATCTGAGCATGGTCATAACTCATAACACATTATGAATTAGTGAGAAGTAACAAGGGACGACATGCAGTACCTTCTGAGCACCATCAGTGTTGATTGGTCTTATGTCTGGATTGGGGCCAACAATTCCATCAAAAAGAGAGATGCACTTTGCATAATTTGGTTCTTCATCAAACTTTAAGTTCACAACATACTCAACAAACTGTCGGAAAGGTTGTGGACAAAAGCAACACAAAGATTCTGGAGAGGTTGCCATCTTTTTCTTGCAAACAAGGAAACCTTTATTTTCTCCCTACAATTATTCCACAAAAGTCTTGGGTAAGGAAAAGAACCAAATGCAAAATGAAAATTTTACTCCCAACCAAACTTCACCTGATATCCTTGCCAAGGAAGGCGACCACGCAGAAGAAAAACAAGTGTGTAGGCAAGGGATTCAAGGTCATCTCTCCTGCTTCCAGTTCTTCCCAAGTGAGCGTGCACACTAGCATACCGAACGGTTCCTCTGTAGGAAAAACAAGTAGAAAAAATGTCAGTGTAGTAACTAATAAACTACTAATAAGAAAAGGAAGGCTTCAGGGCTTAGTATTTCTCCTGCAAACCTGAAGACATCAGGCCTCTGATCATACTCAACTAGTTCTCCTGTACCAGTGTCTTTCCATTTAGTAGCTGCAGAGAGGAAGAAATGTTAGCACCCCACTGGACACAGTAGACACTGGAAAATCGTTATCAAAAGAACAGTGAAATAAGATTACCTAATCCAAGGTCAACAAGAAAAAGCTTCTTCTCTTGCAGTGTGCCTGGGGGTCCAAGCAGAAAGTTCTCAGGTTTTACATCACCATGGACATACCTATGATAAACAAGAGTTGTTAGCTATGTTTTTATATGCCAAAACAATAAAACAAAGCTCCATTGCCAAGATACAAATAAATACCCTTTCGAGTGCATCTTCTCCAGTATGGAAATGGCTTCTATAGCAATACAAGCAACCATTTCAACAGACATTCTGTAACAGAAAGACAAAACTCAAATTAACTGGGCAAACCAGCGGAACATTAAGGAATACATACAAAGGGAAATGACTAATTAGATACTTACGAGTGGGAATTATTATTCCATACATCCCACAGGCTTGGTCCCAACATGTCCATAATCTGAATATATATATTACATTAGAAAAAAAAACATCCTAGTTTTGCAATGGAACAAGCAATCAAAAAGATGTGGGAACATCTTGGCGCCAAAATTGTCCAAAAGTTGGCTTGGTAGATGCGGTGTGATGCACTGGTTATAATTGCATTTCCAACAATATATCATTACTTATTTCAACTCACTTCATTCTCTCTCCTCTCCGATCTGTTCTCTATTTATTTTTCTCACTGGACCCACATGCCATACTCTTTTCTCCATCTACTTCTCTCTTCCTGTATTCTTTCTTCTGCAACAAATGGACCTCACACACTCCAATACTTCTCTCAACCACATCAGATCCGATTGTTGGAGATACCCTAAACAAAAGAACTAGACTTTCAGACTTACCTAGAAAAATTGTGATTTTTACTAAACAGTACTCCCTCATCTATGCACATATATTCTTGTGCATTGATGTTAATCTGATGCTAACGAAACAAGTCCTCTGATCCAACTGAAGTTTTGAGTACGTTTAGGATCAACAGTGACACTGAGATTCACTCGAGAAGGTGAAAGACTACTATATAAATATTACTATGTGGAAATAAAGTTCAAAACCAACAGTGAACAGCTATATAAACAAAAGCAGAGTGCTTCAGAAGCAATGAAAGGTTAATGATTTTCGAATTTAAATGAACTTTCACGCCCTAACTGGTCTCTAGTATTTATTAAATTATTTACACACTTGATTAAGACCTTCTACCTCAAACCATTACGTCTTCATCAAATTCAATCTACTTTATTCAATAAATAGGTACATTTAATCAGTTAAACAAACTTAACACACATGGAGCATGCCAGCAATCATATGTGGTGGCTTGGCTAATGGCTTATTTTGGATTGTGGATACAATTTATTTATTTTGGTAAGTTTTGTACTCCCTCCGATCCAAAATAAGTGTCACAGTTTTGAACTAAGGTTAGTTCAATCTTAGTTCAAAACTGCGACAGGATCCAAAATAAGTGTCGCAATTTTGAACTAAGGTTAGTTCAATCTTAGTTCAAAACTGCGACACCTATTATGGATCGGAGGGAGTAGTGATTCAAACACAAAATTTAAACATTTCTCATAAGAGTTACAGGCCCTTATTTTCGTAAACAAGAAATATGCTACTTCTGTCTTCTGAGCCGTTTACAAAACTTTAATTCCATAATCCCACCAGCATACCAAAAAAGACAGGAACTTTTCTACTCGGTATGCCTACAGTCTACACCATTGGAAGAACAACTTTCGTCATTACTCTCATCAGTTACAGGGCAGAGCACCAACGGACAAGGGCATTCTATGTGGTTTACTGATAAAGGAAACGCAAAAAGGGGAAATTCAGTGTTATACTGTATGTCATAAAGGTAGCGAGTGAGAAGGTAATCAAACAAGCTACCAAGAGCGCATACTGTGCCAAAGAGAGAGAGAGGGCGGGGGGCAATGGTAAAACCAGAAATCAACTACTAAGTGTCTATGCACTCAGAATCACCACATAAAAGGAGGCAAAGGGTACATGCTCCATTACCATGATATAGTACTCCGATTGCTTCCCTTTGTAGTGTACTCTTGGCACGCCATGAATCCCGCTAAGAGTGCTGCCAGATGGATGTTTTACGCAAACAAAGTTAACATGCATTCTAGAAATGCCAATTGCAATCGCAATTTGTACAGAGAAGCAAGACCAAAAAGGAAATTGTACAAAATGTAAATAAGTTGCAGGAACAAAAAAATAGAACAGACTGAACACTTACTTGTAAACCTCCCACTCATAAGGAGCTCCATAATTGCAGCCTTTACTGGTTCGGTGTTCAAATTTGATTGCAACCTAACATAAACAGAAACATGATATAAATATAATGCAATTATTAAAATACAAAGAGGCATCCAAAGAAGACAAATTGACCTCCAAAGCATTTGCACCAGGTGTCCTGTCACTGAGACTAGGAGTGGAAATACGGCGACCAACATATACTTGCCCAAATCCTCCCTTTCCAAGCTTTCTGTCAAGTTTGTAGGTAGGTGAATTGCCAATCTGGATCTGTTCCACCTCAATGAAAAAGAATATGAGTCATGCAATCACCAAAACGATGCAACCATGCTACACCCGTCTTGAAAACCAGATATTCCTACTGCGCAACCAGGTATTCCTACTACGCCTACTTGCTAAGACTAATGAAAGAAGTTAGGTTCCTGCACATCAAATGCTAAAGATTCTTGGGCAGTGAATAAACTCAGTGAATCTTGCACAGCTGGATGAACAAAGGCTCATCCCGTGTCAGGAGAAAAACATTAATAACTTCTACCTGCAAGAACTCTTGACTGTTGGGGCTATTACCTATTATAATTTTTCCATTGGGTAGTAATTTCCAAAGATTATAATAGGAGGCATATGCCTGCACTGACCTATTAAGTACATCAACCATCATTTTTAGAGCTAGTGCTGTGGTTACAACTGCTAAGAGTTATATTATGCTCCATGTATAGCCTGCATATTTTCCCCGTTGTATGAGGGGTTTCCTGCATACTTACAACTTGTATATTTATATTTATATTTATATTTATATATGCTGGGCATTGGCCCCTAGGAAATTCAAGTTGCACATTTCCTAACATGGTATTAGAGCCTAGAGTTTTTTTTCGCATGTGCAACTCGTGCTGTGATCCCCCCGTTGCGCCGCCACCATCCCCTTTTTTTGGCAGCCACCGCCGTGTCCTTCTCACGGCTGCTGCTGCCTGCTGTTCACCTTGCCACCTGCCCTCGCATGATGATTCTACACTTGTCAACGCCCTGCTGGATCCCGATTCCAAGCCGCAGGTCTACATCCCCCAGCCAACGCTGCCAGTCTCCTGTAGCTGATGTCGCCCCGCCTCCACGACCTGCAAATCGTCCTAGATCGGCGTCGCCCCATCGGATCCATGCAGCCACCTCCATTTCCGCCCGGCCACTGGCTCGTTGCTCTGCACCTCCACCGCCGGCCACCCGGCTCCATGATTCCGCCGCCCAGCTCTGCACCTCCGAGCACTCGCCGCTGCAATTCTCATGCACCCTGGCCTGCTGCTCACTCCCCGTGCGCCCACTGCTGCTACCCGTGTCTCATGTGTGAACGCTTTTGCTCTTGCTGTCTCCCTGCCTCTGCTTGCACGTGCTTGTGTTTTGCTTGTTTCGGGCTGCTCCGTCGGTACTTCTGATCAAGGCTCTTCTTTTATGTCTCATCAATTTCGTGAATTTTCCTAATCTTTTAGAATTAAATTGTTAAATTCGTCGCCTTATTATGCTCAAGCTTATGGACAGGCCGGATCTTGCAATAAAACTTTAATTAAGCTTATAAAGAAGAAAATTAAGGAGCATCTGAGATGGCGGCATGAAGTGCTCTCGAAAGCTTTATAGGATCATCATATATCTAACACGGAATGACTCAAGTGCACCGTATGAGGTAGTGTATGGGCAGGAATCAGTGCTGCCCGTGGAGATTAATTTGCAAGCTCTTAAGAGTAGCCAGACAAAATGATTTGTCGCCTGTGGATTACAATAATTTAATGATGGATAGGATAGATGATGTTTCAGAGGAAAGGTTGAGAGCCTTGCAAGAGATTGAAAAAAAGAAATTATGAGTGGCAAAGGCTTATAATAAAAAGGAAAGGTGAAATTTGTTTCAAATTGGAGAATTAGTGTGGAAAACGATTTTTCCTATTGGAACTAGAAATAATAAATACGGCAAATGGTCGCCGAGTTGGAAAGGTCCGCATAAGGTTGTAGAGATTGTTCCTGGAAACTCATATTTTCTACAATCTTTGCAGGGGGGAAATTGCCCAAGTGGAAAATATTTGAAGAAGTACTATCCTAGCATGTGGCAAGAAGCTTGATGGCACTATGGGCGATATTATCTAAGTTGTTGCCCTTAGCAAAACATGGCCGATATGATCTCAGATAGCCCCCTAAGCAAAATTTGGCCAGTGTGTTATTGTACATCGCCTAAGCAATTGATATGGCCGGTGAAGTGGTTGAAATCATCCCAAGATATTGTCATGGTGTTTTTGGTAAATAAAATTGCACCAAAAACAGGGGGGCATGTGTTGAGAGTCTAATTTGGATCCAGCTTGAATGGTCACCCAGATTATTTAATTTTGGTGGTTAAGCTAATTGGTTGATGCATTGTTTGAGAATGGCCACATGATTGCAAGTACAGACGATAGGTGCAGCAGGCTGGATGCAACAGAATTGTGTGCTGGAGCTCACGCGTGAAGAGAAAGAAGGAAAGTGATCTGGTTTAGAATGCTTGAGATAGAAAAGATTTTGCATGATCAGCTATTCGGCCAGAACAGAACTAATATGGAAGGTGTACTATTATTGGGCTCAGGTTGGTGCTTTTACAGGTCTAGCCGAATTAATTAAAGATTAGGAATTTGGCTTGTATGCCAAGAAAACAGTACGTGACTAGTCAGGAGCCCTATTCCAAATTGCCAAAGGCCAAGCGTGCCCTAATATATATGGGTACATGGCCGATTGAAAAGTTACAATCAATCGATCCTTTTGCAACTCTGCGTTACTTTTTTCTCCTTCCAGCACCTAGGTCATAGCTTCTGCCCAGCCCTAGCAGCCCTACGGTTTGGCTCATCTTTGCCGTTTTGTATAAAAAACGATCGGTTTACCTCCACGTAAGCAAGGAATCTGTGGTGCTGTGCGGATCAATTTCCCGCGGCAACAGGGTGAGTTATATTATGTTCCATGTATAGCTTGTATATTTTCCCCATTGTATGAGGGGTTTCCTACAAATCTACCACCCGTAGATGTATATATATACTGGCCATTAGCCCCCAGGAAATACAAATTGCATCTTTGAATTCCAGGCTCCCATGCATCTTTGAATTTCATTATATAACACCCTGACCAAAATAGGTAGTAATACCACATATAAAACATGAAGCAAAGGACATTTTGAGCTTTGCAGCATGTAGGCATCCAGATGTTTATTCTGGAATGCCACCAACAGGCAGTCTAAAAAGTATATGTGATCAAAACTACCAGTCTATTGAAGATGCTAATATCCATTTGAAGAGTAGTTATTTTGACATTTTGTACCATAAATGGCATGCACGGGTCAAAAAGGAACACAAAATCAGCACTGAAGAAGGTTTTGTCTTACCAAGACATAAGCAGAGTGCAACTCAGTTCACAGCCCTAGAAATCATACACAATTTGTTCTGTAAAAAGAAACAGTACGCACTTGCACAGCATATTCCGACCAACCTATGCGGCTGCATTCCCACATTTCCTTTTCCAAATTTAGAAATCTCAGTTAGGCACTGCTTGTTGCATTAACTAGCTCCTATGGTTCCATAACAACTACAGTAGCATATTCAAACTCGCGCATCTACTTCCTGCTATGTTAAATCAGCATATTTACTCCGTTTGTGCCGTGAAAAACACGAGTATAGTAGGTTAAGAACAAAGACCTGCACGCCATCCATAACACTAGGAACTTCTCGGACAGCATGCTCATGTCACATTTTCATACCTCTGCAGGTCCTGCCATTCAATAGCGACCATTCCTGCCATATCAGACCTAAGAACATACCGAATTCATGTCTACTCGCGTTTCTAGCATGGAACCTATAGTCCTAAACAAGATACCTCCATCCCCAGCTCTTGGAACCCTGCGGCCGCACGAGATTGTGCCATTTCTAAGCACGAATCGCTCAACTCCGAGCGATACCGCACAAATAAAGACGTTCAATCACGCGGATGAAATCTAAACAGCGGACAATTCGAAACAAACACCCGGTGCTTGCATAATAGAGGAGATCCTCACCGTCTCAGGGAGCGGCGTGGAGCTCCCGTCGTCGCCCGGGGGGGCATCGTCCTTGTCTGCACTCCGAGCGACGCTGTCGCCGTCGTCCATCCCTGTCACGCGCGTGTCCAGCACACAGCTCTGAATCTCCTGCGTCCGCTACTGCTGCTACAGCGGTGGCGGTGGAGGCGGCGGGAGGTGGGCGCTTGCTTCCTCCTTATGCCTTAGTCGTGGCTAGAGATAGGTCTGGGGGAGACGTTGGTGGGGATGCGCGGGAGGTGGAGGAGGCGGTCCCGTCGGCAACGGCGAGCCGGGAGGAATGGGAGCGAGGAGAACAAACGGGAAAGTGAGAGGAGAGGGGATCGAAACTTCTGGACTAGTATATCGTGCGATCTCCCGGAGCCAGAGGTAGGCTCGTGTGTAATTTTGGCCATCTCGATGCACCAAAAATTTTAGACTGCACCAATCTTAAAACACCTCTTCACCAGACCGGTTAGGAATGACCAAATCGATCGTTTTCAAACAGTTAATCTCTTCGTGTACAAGGAAAGAGGAACGTGGCGTCGACCTCGTGCGAGCAGGGAGATAGCGCGAGCTCGCCCGCATCCTTGAAAAATTGGTGAGAGCAATTCGGTAACCTTTCATTGACGGTGTCCCATCTAAGGGACCCCTCACTATGTCGACTCTCGTCTAGTAGGCCGGACTGAGAACTTCTTCTCGGTTTCGACCTGGGCCACGTTAGAAGGCCCATGGCATATAATAAGGTTCCAGAAGACTTGTTGTACATGACAAGGTGTTGGATCTATGAAGGACCCTCCCTCCTCATAAGTAGCTGACTTGGATCTTGTACCCTAAGAACCCCGTGCCTATATAAACTGAGGAGCGGCCTGACTCATAGACAACAATAAGAAATCTCTTGGTAGAAACATGTGCTTTGTATTTAGTCCAACGCAATAAACACAAGCATGACATAGGGTATTATCTCCTTAAAGAGTCTGAACCTGGGTAAAATCCATGTATCTATGTTGCCCTCGTTACAAGACATCTAGCTTAGGATCCCCTATCTCAAGATTTGCCGGTTTAACTTCTGTCAGTGGTGGCCCATGCAGGCTTGCTAGGTGATCGTCGCAGATCAATGGGAGTCAGGATCAACGAGTAGATTAGTTTCGAGGAGATCTTTGTGTTGGGGCAAATGTCCATCTTCGGTGGCGTCACCCTTGTCACCAACTCAACTGGCCACCTTGGCCAAGTCAAATCCTTTGCTCCAAGCTAGACCGTCGGTTCGGCAACAAGGAGTACACCGCAAATTTCCACGGAGAGTTGATCTTCACAAGCTTGGTGTCGCGCCTAGTCGAGGAGCAGCATGAACCGCTTGTCTCGGGCCCGATGTCAGATCAAGCTCAGGATGAGCGTGAGCGTGAGAATCCTATTATGTGGTCAATCCTAGATCGGACCGCGATGCTGCTCCTTGTGACCCCTGTAGGGGTTGAATCTAGTGGATCTCAAGTAGGGGGTCCCGACTTGCTGATCTTAGCATGATGGTAACAAGACAAAAGGGACACGGTGTTTTACCCAGGTTCGGGCCCTCTCGAAGAGGTAAAATCCTATGTCATGCTTCTGTTGTATTGATTATGGATGGGATACGAAGTACATGATGATCTACCTCGAGATCGTATGTGTACGTCTCTAACTTAACCCTATGGACTAAACCCCTCATCTTATATAGGCACCGGGGTACTTAGGGTTACATGTAGGTCAGTTACATCTAAGGATAAACATGCCGATGATTCAAACGTGTCTTGAAGTGTGTGCCAAGTCTTCAGAGGATTCCATCTTGAGTATGTCGTGGGTCATGGGAAGCATGGCCCATTCTTCGGTTGTATGGGGGTTCTTGGCCTGGCCCATGACTGGCAGGCTGACGTGGTAAGCCCTAGTCTAGGACACCGTCAGTAGCCCCTGAAATAGTCTCCAAGCTGAGGATATTGATTGACTCCTCGCAGTCGTGGCTTCTTCGGTCTTCGGCTTCGTAGGCGAGTTCAACAATCTTGATATTCGAGCTTTCCGAATTAATCCCTTGTCCGAGGACATTGGGCTTGAGGCCTTCTGCGCCGAAGTAGGTGTCTTATGAGCTAAGTAAGCTTCTTCCGAGGACCAATAGGGATCACATCTGGCTGTTCTCCGGGTACACCGCCATCCGAGGCCCCACTATTGACATGTCCAATCAAGAGAGTTGTAATGGGCCCGACTTTTACTTTAGCGGCATTATTAACATCCGCCCTCGATTGGCGTGCACACATAAGGCACAACGCCTAGGAAACACACGAATTTACTGCTGCGGGACTCAAGCGTCCTGCTATCCCACGACCAAGATTTTCCATACAAAGTAAAGGAGATATACGAGAGATTTCACATCCCTTCCACCTCTTCTCTTGCCTCCGCGCGGATCTCATCCTCTTCCTTACCTCATTGCTGCTTTGAGAGCTCAACACTATGGAAAACGTCCCAGACTCATCTACTCGCCCTGGTGGCCCCCTCGAAGGAGAGTAGAACAGTTGTTCGGTTGCTCAAGGGCAATTGAATCGTCTTGCCACACAAGGGTATCTCCCTGATTCGGAGTTCGCGCAGATTCACCCAGGGTTGGTTTCTTTGGATGGCGGCTGAGGGAGTCCTGGATTAGGGGGTGTTCGGATAGCGGGACTATACCTTCAGCCGGACTCCTGGACTATGAAGATACAAGATTGAAGACTTCGTCCCGTGTCCGGAAGGGACTTTCCTTGGCGTGGAAGGCAAGCTTGGCGATACGGATATGTAGATCTCCTACCATTGTAACCGACTTTGTGTAACCCTAACCCTCTCCAGTGTCTATATAAACAGGAGGGTTTTAGTCCGTAGAACAACATTAACAACAACAATCATACCATAGGCTAGCCTCTAGAGTTTAGCCTCTCCGATCTCGTGGTAGATCTACTCTTGTACTACCCATATCATCAATATTAATCAAGCAGGACGTAGGGTTTTACCTCCATCGAGAAGGCCCGAACCTGGGTAAAACTTCATGTCCTTGCCTCCTGTTACCATCCGGCCTAGACGCACAGTTCAGGACCCCCTACCCCGAGATCCGCCGGTTTTGACACCGACATTGGTGCTTTCATTGAGAGTTCCTTTGTGTCGTCGCCGTCGGGCTCGATGGCTCCTACGATCATCAATAGCGATGCAGTCCAGGGTGAGACCTTCCTCCCCAGACAGATCCTCGTCTTCGGCGGCTTCGCACTGCGGGCCAATTCACTTGGCCATCTGGAGCAGATCGAAAGCTATGCCCCTGGCCGTCAGGTCAGATTTGGAAGTTTAAACTACACGGCTGACATCTGCGGGGACTTGATCTTCGACGAATTCGAGCCACTGCCGAGCGCGCCGCACTGTCACGACGAGCATGATCTAGCACTGCCGTCGAACAGTGCCCTGGAGGCCGGACCCGCATCGGCTTCGACCCTTAATTCAGAGCCAACTGCACCGATCGAGGATGGGTGGTTGGACGCCGCCTCGGGGGCTGCGATCCCAACGGCGATCGAGCCGAACACAAGCCCCGCACTCCGCGAGACTCGTGACTCCAAGGAGCCGGACTCCTCTCCGGACTCCGAACCCTCCGCGCCCCTGCCGATCGAATCCGATATGGCGCCGATCATGGAGTTTACTGCCGCGGACATCTTTCAGCACTCGCCTTTCGGCGATATTCTGAAGACGCTAAAGTCTCTCTCTTTATCAGGAGAGCCCTGGCCGGACTATGGTCAGCAAGGTTGGGATACGGACGATGAAGAAATTCAAAGCCCACCCACCACCCACTTTGTAGCCACTGTCGACGATTTAGCCGACATGCTCAACTTTGACTCCGAAGAAATCGACGGTATGGACGCCGATGAAGGAGACAATGAAGAACCAGCGCCTATTGGGCCCTGGAACGCCACCTCGTCATATGACGTATACATGGTGGACGCACCAAAAGATGACGACGAGGAGCGAAAGGACGAACCGAAGGCTTGTTCCCTCGAAAAGCAGTCAAAGCGGCGACGCAAGCGCCGCCCCAAATCCCGCCTCGATAGAAACAGCGATCACACAGACCCAGCGCTGGAGCAGGGCAAACCGCTATCGGACAACGGTAATCCGGATAATCAAACCAAACAAACAAATGCTAGCAAGGATAATGGTCCGGATGATATAACGCCGGACAGGCACCCGGAGCAGCAGAATGCCCATAAAAGGCTTGTTGCCACCGCGTGGAGTCTTAGAAAGCAGAAGCAAAGGCTCAAGGCTGCGCAAGACACACTCCAAATTAGATGGAGTAAAATACTCAATACAGCAGCGAGGTACGGCGACAATCGCCCCTCCAAGAGCTACCCAAAGCGGAAGCTGCTACCAGAATTCGATGAGGAGGCCTCAGACCCCCCACAACCAAATATCAAAGCAGCCACCTGGTCAGATAGACGACCCCTCTACCAACACAGAGCGGCATACAACGCCGCTCACAATACAACACGCAACCCATGCGAGGGATCGCACCCAAAGGACGGCGCAACAAGATCCATCTATGGACCACGCAAGCGCGCCCCAACATACAATGCAACACAACAAACATCCGAACAACGCGGTACACCCAGCTACAGGGGTGCCGCACACCCCCTATGTTTCACCGATGAGGTGCTGGACCATGAATTTCCAGAGGGATTCAAACCCGTAAACATAGAGGCATACGACGGAACAATAGACCCTGGGGTCTGGATTGAGGACTACATCCTTCATATCCATATGGCTCGAAGAGATGATCTCCACGCCATCAAGTACTTACCCCTCAAGCTCAAAGGGCCAGCTCGTCACTGGCTTAAAGGCCTCCCCGAAAGCTCCATTGGAAGTTGGGAAGAGCTCGAAGACGCCTTTCGGGCAAATTTTCAAGGGACTTATGTCCAACCTCCGGATGCGGACGATTTGAGTCATATAACTCAACAGCCCGGAGAGTCAGCCCGAAAGCTTTGGAACAGGTTTCTTACTAAAAAGAACCAGATTGTCGATTGTCTGGACGCCGAAGCCTTGGCAACTTTTAAGCATAGCGTCCATGACGA